GAGGATGCTGCAACGGTCGCTAAGTGTGAAAATGGTCACTAAGTGTGAAAAATGGTAATCAGTCACTTTTTTCAATGCTCCCCGCCCCAGTCAAAGGTGTCCCTCTTTACCAATCTGAACATCTGGTCACCTTAAATATACTGTATACAGTAAATAAACTGGCAGTGCAATAAATTGTTTTAATATAATCATTAAATTATTGTATTTAAAAGAAATCTCTTCAAATCCTATTTCAGTGCCTCATCACATCAGAATGTGTTTGTATGTATGTTTCTGGCAGATATGAGTGTTGAATGCCCTAAGCGTATGCTGGTAGAATATATTCCCAGCAGGCTCACCCAAGGCATCCTAGCTAAAGCAAACAGGAATCTATATTGTGCACGAATCACTTTACAATATACTATACAGCAAAAGGCAAAAACACTTCTGTATTTTACAAAAGATAGAAAATAACAAAGTGATTGGCAATACAGAACCAAGTGATGGACCTTCAAGTCAAATGGCAGCCAAATATGCTACTGAGGAAGATCTGAGGATCTATTGGAGTTTATGGTATTTATGAGATGTCTAGGTTAATGTTTTCAGGATGTGTAAATGCTGATGTTGTAAGAAAAGAAAATCCAAAGTAACAGTCACAACATGGACCACATGAAGCAAGAATATGGGAAATTTAATGCAGTAAAATAGGAAATTAATCCACTACTCACTGATTTCCTTCATGTCAATGAACTGAAATGGGTTGATTTTCAATCAGAAGTGAAATGAAGTCATGCAGCTTACTCTTCAAGGCACAAAAAACAAAGGTGTACATGTTTTTTTGTTTGATTGATTTGGCCTTGTCAAACTGGTTTTGGGGAAAAATGGAAAGGAAAAAGGGGAAAGGGAAGGGGTTACTATTATTGCAAAAATGTTGCTGTTTTAAAATGTTTAGTCACTACTTTTTTTAAAAAAAGCATTGTATACTACTGTTTTAAATATTAGTGGATTTAATTGATACTCTAATGGCCAATCTATATAAAATGCAATGCAAAATATCATTTACATTCCTGTTTGCCCTCCAAATATTTTGTTTCCCTCTCCTCCAGAATAAGCCAACTGAAGCACTCCAATAGGATATTCAGGATTTCCAAATATGGTTTGTCCAGGACAGGAAGTTATCTGCAGTTTTCTGGATATAGTAACATCCAAAATATGCAAAGTTGAGTGTTTTCCATGCCTGAGGGTGAGCGCTAATGGCTGATTTTGGCCTTTCTTTCTCCTCAAACTGTTAAAGATTCTTGAGACTGAGAGCTCCTTTGATATCAGTAAAGACCCAGCCATTTATAGGTTCACAGAAAGCCAGTCAAAAAGAAGATAAAGCATTCTCTGTCCTAATGTCCTTTGGGGCAGGTATTTCTTACAGGTTACTGTATTGCACACAGGATAATTGAGAAAGTCAAAGAATATTTTTAAAAAGTGGGTACCTGCTTCATTGATTATGGAAAAAAACATTACTTTTATCAAAAACATCAAGACAGTGGAATGTGCTTAAAAAAGTAGGAATCCCAGAGCATTATCTCAATACAAAACCTATACATAGGTCATGAATACGGTGAGATTGAGTCAAACAAGGTTATATACTCTTCCCTTAGTTATTCAACCTATATGTTAGATATACTGTATTAAGAAAAGCTGGATTGGAAGAATTTTTGCTGTTCTCTAATTGAGTACTTTCAAAAAGGTTGCCATATTTCTATTCTGCTGACTAGTATTGATACATACATTTATCTTTTAAGCCACTTAGGACAGGGGTCTCCAACCTTTCGGACCACTAAATTCATAATTTTAAATCCTGCGGACCACAATATGATCTGCCTAATGATCGGCTGGATGGATGTGGCTAGGTGGTCATGTGACTGGATGGGTGTGGTCATCTCAATGTCAGTCACATCAAGGGCACCTCGCCAGCTTCTATTTGCTCCTCCCCTGCCACCCACTCCTCCCCTGCCCATTTGGGTTCCGTTTGGACTGGCTCAATTCAAATCAGATCTGACTGAGGAGGCTCAGCAGAAGCACCTCACCAAGATCTACGAGCTAGGCTTTCCAAGCGGAGGAAAGACTGGTGGGAATGTAAGGCCAGGTACTGGCGCTTTGAGGCTGTGGGCTGAGATGGTCAGCCAGTTCCAGGCCATGATGCAGTCTCACTGGAACAAGGCCGTCTGGCTCTTTGGCACTAGTGGCACTTCCCTCCAGCCTTCGCCAAAAGTCCCGCAGCAGACCCCAAGTCAGAATTTCTGCCTTCCTCCAACCTGCACAAAAAGACCCCGAAGGGGGAGACTCTGCAGCAATACGAGTTCTTTGCAACCATAGTTTGAGCATCCCTGATTTAGTGCAATATAAAAATGCAAATAATTTTCTGCAGACCACCAAAATTTTCTCACGGACTATCAGTGGTCTACGGATCACTGGTTGGTGACCGCTGACCTAGGATATGTAGAATTAGATGATATATAAATTCTCATAAATAAAATTAATCAATAAATGTAAAAAATTGTATTCCCCCCCCCCCTGGATTTCTGGTTTCCTAGCTGAGGGAAAACCAAGAGGAATAGTGTTGCAATGATTGTAGGTCTTTGTAGAAAGATTAAAGTATTTGCGTATTAACATTGGCATATCTGGTTGATGGCAGGGTCTTTGTTTGGCTTTAGCTTGTCATAGTCAGCCAGATGTTTCCAAGGACTTGGGAGAGGCAGAAGCTGTTATTTAATAATATCAAAGGTCTCAGGATGTGTTTCAACTAAAACTGCCTTTTGCAATAGGTGGTGATTTTGTCAATGCCAATGGTGTTCAAATGGTGTTCCAGCTGTTTTGGAATGTTATTATATTTTTATCCTGCATATTTATATATAACTCAAAGTAGTGAACAATACTCCTTCCTCCTATTTTCCCACAACAACCTTATGAGGTGGGTTGGGCGAACAGAGGGTCCCTGGCCCTTCCCAAATCACCCAGCCTGCTTTCATGCCTAAGGGAGGCCTAGTACTATCTCCTACATAAACGGTCCTTCAGCTGTTTGACTCAAAACCCATTTCCCAGTCTTGAATATTGTAATTTTTTTTTAAAAATCACAAACATCTCAGCAGCAGCAGTCCCAAACTGGATCCTCAACTCACAAAAAATAATTACAAACTGCTCCATTACTCCCAGGATATACCAAATTATTCCCTTTAACAGCGACTACGTGTAACATTCTTGGAAGTCAGAGATTTGTTTTAATATACAGTTCTATTCCTTATTTCTTTCAACAGTCTTAGTACAACACGTATGCAAAGCACTTTCAGGATGGATGAGCAGAACCAGAGGGTAGGATCAGAACTAATTTAAGTTAGATTCTTAGAAATTCCCGATGTTAAATTTTGTTACTTAACGGAATAGGCTGCCTCTTGAACTGGCATGGTCTTCTTCATTGGTCTTCAACTAAACTACATAACATCTATCTGAAAGGTTTTGCAAACATTGCGCCAATCGGGGTTGGATTACATGACTTTGAGGTCAATTCCACCACAATTTCTTGATTCTTTAAGAGAGCTCTATGTGCACACACACAAATTATTCTTTAATCTTATAAATCTTGTGAGTTAAGCTTTGCTTTGCTATAAAAGTGTTTTGAGTTCACCTTAAATATAGGTAATGAATTTACTCACACACAACCCTGAATTGACTTGCCTAATGTGTGTAGCGTTATTGTGCATGAACCGACGCGTGCACTTTCACGGAGCGGGGTTCATGTTGTGAGGCGCAAATGCAGTCGCGGGAGTAGTCCGAAGTGGGGGAATTTTACACGTACAATAAACATTAGCACTCGTGGCTCAGTTACTCTGGAGGAAGCCTCGCCGAGTAAGCCTTATAGATTTCAGGTCAGCCACAGGTGGCTTGTAATTTCCAGCCACCAAACGACCGCTCCTCCTCGAACCCCAAGGAATCCTCTCACCCCCCCCCCGCACTTCCCCCTCCTCCTTGTCGCTCTAAGCACCCCTCCCCTCCCATTCCCTGCAGCCACCCGCCATTCACGCGCCTACCCCTCCCTCATTTCCGCTTGCGCGGCCCCGGCTGGACCAATCCTCCTCTCCGCTGTCTTCCCGCCTGTCTCGCCGTGCGCATGCTTGGGTTATGCAATAGGCCATGCGCCCTAGCGTCCCAGCTACAGGGCGGCGGCGTTGGGGCAGATCTGTTTGCTGGAGGAGGCTTAGTCGAGGGTGGTGGTGGTGGTAGAAGAGGAGGCTCGGAGGAGGAGGAGACGGAAGGGGGAGCTGGCCTGGCTTGGCCAGCCTGCCCTCCCGCTCTGCCATTCAGGTGGAAGTGGAAAGAGGGGAGAGCGGGCCGTCGGCCCTGGGCCAGCTGCCTTCCGCTTGCCTGAGCAAGCTGGCGGGCGGCAGTGGCGGCCTCGGCACTCTGGGCCAAGTCCCGCCTGTTCCGCGGCGGCGAGTGGGCTGGCTTCCTGCGTGTTGTGCCGCTCCCCCCTCTTCTTCTTTTCCTCCTTTCCCTTCCTCCTCCTCCTCCCTCCCCTCCTTCTCTCTCGCTTTTCCCTCCCTCCCTTCCTTTCCCCGGCAGTAGGAGCCGCAGCGGCAGCAGCAGCAGCCACAGCAGCAGTAGCCCGGATCCCCTGAGCCATGGCGCTGTGAGAGCAGCACATGGCGGGCGCAGCAGCCATGAACCCCCCACTAATCCATACAACTCCCCCCTGAAGAGCCACCGTGTAACTGCAGCCGCCGCCGCCCGCCCGCCCGCTCACCCAACAACCAACCAACCAATTCGCCTTAGTTGAATAATATTAGACCACCAGCACCAGCACTGCCCATCGCAACTGCTCCTGCCGCCTCCACGCCCGGGCCGAAGACGCTCTTCTCAGCCAGCTTCTTCCCTGCACCGCCGCCGCCACCTAAACCCCCGCTAACAGCCAGTCCGGTCCCACCGTCGCCATGGGAGTGCAGGGCTTCCAGGACTACATCGAGAAACACTGCCCGAGTGCCGTAGTGCCGGTGGAATTGCAGAAGCTGGCCCGGGGCAGCCTGGTGGGTGGTGGTCGCCAAAGGCCTCCTCAGACCCCGCTGCGACTCCTCATCGACGCCGACAACTGCCTGCACCGACTCTACGGCGGCTTTTACACGGACTGGGTGAGCGGCGGGCAATGGAACCACATGCTGGGCTACTTGGCGGCGCTGGCCAAGGCCTGCTTCAACGGCAACATCGAGCTCTTCGTCTTCTTCAACGGCGCCCTGGAAAAGGCCCGGCTCCACGAGTGGGTGAAGCGGCAAGGCAACGAGCGCCAGACCGCCCAACAGATTGTCAGCCACGTCCAAAATAAGGGCACCCCGCCGCCCAAGGTCTGGTTTCTCCCGCCTGTCTGCATGGCGCACTGCATCCGCTTGGCCCTCATCCGCTTCCACATCAAGGTAAGCGAGCGAAGGCAAGCGACGGCCTGCTCGGAGGGCTGCCCAATGCCGTTTTCGCTGCTCCAGTGATCCCTTGCATGCGTCTCCCTGGCCCGTGTCACCGGGGCCCTCTTGCAGCCCCGATCTGCCCTCTAGCCCTGCTCTGATTGCTTTTCGCTCCTTTTCTACTCCTTTCGCGCTCTCCGGTTCCCCACCCGTCTCATGGGGTGGAGGGGGGGCCCTTTAGCAGGGGCCTGACGCCTATCGGGGACCAACTCCTGCGCCTGCCGTCCTTCTATTCATGGAAGCGCCTCGCACCTTACTGGGTTGAACCCCCCAGTCCTCCTCTCTTCCGTGCGGTGGACAGAGGGGCAGCATTAATAAAGATGGCAGCAGACTTTTCCCTCCCGGTTATGGTTTGACTAATTCCAGAGGGAGGAAGGGAGGGAAGTTCTGTTTTCCCATATCCGCAAAATGTCGTCGAAAACTAGCTGAGTTAGAACCTTGGGCGGGGAGTTGAGATTTCCTGGGATCCAGCGTGCTTCCCGCTGGTCGTTAATAATCATCCAAGGTTGCCCCGAAAGTTTGTACAGTAATTGCGTTTGTCTTGGCTACAACTCTTTCCCTTCCAGGAACAGAGTAGAAATAAGTCTCCCTACGTCCTCACTAAGAGGCAGGAAGGTAGAGGGTGGCCGAGCTGGCGTAGGAGAGGACTTAGTAAGCAAACTGATGTCCTCAATCTGTACAGGGATTTTTCTATTTATATATAGAGCTTTGAAAATCAGATGAGAGGAACAGGGAACATCCAAAGGCTCCCATCCACAATGTAAGAAGTCTAATGAGTTGCTAATATTAAACATCTCAATTCAATGTATTACAGTTATAGACTAGAAACCAATTAAACATTTCAAGGAATCCTCATTTACTTTTTCCATTGTTCCTAAACTTGGATTTCTGGTTTGTTAATAATACAAGTTTTTTTGGCATCTATCCTCAGGTCTTCTGCCATAATTCTTATGTTCATTCTTTTCCTGTACAAATATCTATAAACTGTAGTTTAAATTATAAAGGAAGATAATTGGTGATCATTATACTTGATCCAGGAGTGAGAGTTGCATAGTCAGTTGGGAACAAAATCTATCTTGTTATATTTCTGTTCTGGGTTCACTCAGTTTTAACTGTCTTTTGTGTTCCTTTTTTGAAAACATCAGGTTCAGGTGCTTTAATTCTATTGTTTTGATCCTTCAGATTAGTAAAGTGACCCTCGAACCTAATAACCACTCTTTGAATCAGAGTTATTTTTTGATCTGGTTGTTTCTTTTAAGAATTATTAGAATTATGTGTATAATTTGTTTAAATCATAAATGGGAAATTAGACAGTTGTCCACAAAATGCATGCAAGCAACAAGTTTTTTTAATCTATAATTTAGGGAGGACTTGTGGCTTGAACTACACAAAAGTTTGAAGTTTTAGACTAATAATATCACCATTATAAATCATTTAATTACAGTTTTGTAGAAGATACTAAGTTTTAAATTGTTACTGTACAGCAATGAAACAATACAATTATATATGTGGTCTAATAAATTTATTTACAATATGCTTTGATTTACAGATTTTATTACATGTAGATCAATGACCATAGTGCCATTCCTCCATTTTCCCCCCCTGGATAATTATGTAGTATTGTTCTCATGATAGCAGTTGTAATAGCATTTCATTTTATTTCATTTTGCCCTACTGGTGAGGTATCCTGCTTGAACTCTTAGCTCTCCTAAGTAGAAAGTTTTGACAATTATGTTGCATAGTTGACTAAATATGTGACCTTAGCAGATAATGTACAGTTTTGTAATTGGACCTTGATTCTACCTTGTGGCATATAAGAGACAAAGGATACTCTCCACCCACAGCCCCAGAATATATTTACACATGGATATTAAAAGTTAGTTTTTAATATGTTCAGTGAAACTGAAAACATACTTTTTTCTGGAAGTGTGGGTTAATTGTTTTCTGACTGAAACTTAACAAGTTAAGGCCTAGAATTCATTCTGTGTTGTAGAATGGCTGTGATACTTCAGACTAAGTTGCTAGTGGAAGTCCCTCCCCTTATTTCAGTTGTAACTGGTAAGAAATTTAGTAAGCCTACAAGTCCACAAATCTGGTGTAATGATTGGCTTACATAAGTGACAGACATTAAGTGTAACATCATAGTGAACAAGTTAGATTGCTCTGTTCTTGTTACTCATCTATCAGAAGTGGAAAGCTGCTAAGTGCAATCATATTTCTTTAAATCAGATGTGACTTAACATTTCTAATGAGTACATGATTTGAAGCTAGAAACCCATCTTTACAGTAGTCTTTGAAGAAAAAGGATCAGTGATTTCAAAGAGTATTGATGTTCTGAAGTTTTTATTAAAACATTTTTATTTCCAACACTTAATCAGAATCTTCTTGTAAAATAGAAATAAAAGCAAATGTTATATTGTTAATGCAAACTTTAAAATCTGCTAGCAATAGCTCTTCTTACTCTAAATTTACAGAAAGTTGCAATAAGATATTTCTATGCAGTAATCCTTTAAAAGTGGACTGACTTAATGCTATTAAATCTGGTAGAATAAAGTTTTAGTGAACTATATTAAAGATAATATTAAATATATAAAATAAATTCTATCTTGATGACTATGATTGTTATATGATTAATGAACATAATTCACATTATATTGGTGACATATAAAGTGCATAATTTTAATAAGTTGCATAAGCAATAGGGAATATCTGAGTCTAAACAGGAAAAGGATCATGGGAAGTTATATTCAGAACACATAATATGTCAATACATTTTAACTGCCTTTCACATTATAGATACATGATGCAGTTTTAAATAACTTTCAGTGAAATGTTGTGTTTCTGTGATTTGACACTCAGCAATACCTATTTGACTTTTTCTCCAATTTATCCAAATGTGTCGGATTATACAGTCTGTCACCCATCTACTCTGGCCAAAGTTTGTACTTAATAAGGATTATAGAAGTCATGTTCCATTACTGATAGAAAAGAATGCTTGTAGCTCAGGATTGAACTGTGGGATCTTTGGTGTTCTCTTGAACTTGGAGCTAGCAGTTAGAAGACACAATGAAAACTCCTTAATTTCACAGTTCATGGACAGATCATAGTTTCTTGATACTCCACATCCTAGACCAAGCTAAATCCCAATCTTTAAAATGCTAGTGAATTACTGGAATTCTGGAAGCTTGGACAAATCTGTCATCCACATTCATATAGAGATAAACAACATCTACATGCTGTTCAAGAAACAATCAAAAAGCCAAAAAGGAAACAAAAAAAATCAAAATACTTCCTCATCAGCAATCAACACCCAGATGAGCAGAGATTAAAAGCAAGATTAGCACTAGACCTACAATCAAGAAGTAAACAATACCTCAATCAAGGAACCACCAATTTAGGCAAACAAGCTAACAGTAAACAACAACCTAATGAAGGAATCACAAGACCACTCCCACCTATACTGACTAGGCAACCACTAATATATAAAACGAGCATTTTTTTTAAAGAATTGATGATGTTACCTTGTTTGATAATGAAACCAAGCACAGTGAACACCAAAGACCCTACATAATCCATTACACTTGAAGGAGCTCAAATCTGGGAGATGTAATCTGTAATAAAACTATTTTGAAGCAAACATTTAGAATATCATGCATAATTTATCTACTTTCTTTTTCATGATTTTGATATTCTTAAATCTCTGAGGAGAGTTGTAATACTGGAGTCTTTCCATTGCTTTTATATTTTAATTAGCATTTGCTCATAAGACTTGTCAATCCCCCCACCCCACCCCAATATTGGTTGTATGTGTGGGCATCTAGACTGATGCTCAGCACCAAATTGGCGTGCTTTTTCTGGGCAATTGAGCAAGAATTGGTCAGAATAGTCATTGTGGAAATTGAAATTTATAGTTTTATTTTTTAGTTTTTAATAGACCAAATAGAAGATTAATAGAAAATATGGATTTATAAAAGGGATTTTATAAAAGTTTTGTTTATGGTTATGTTGAGTGAGAATGTGTTTTAAGAGAGTGGGGGAGAGTGTTCTAAAGAAAAATTCTCAGCTCTGTTCTCCATATTCAAAATAGTTATTCAGATGTATATGAATTATATTGTATTAGGAAAATTAGATTATTAATATTTAATCAATACAAGAAACATAATATTCTTCCTAGAAAAAGTCCCACACACTAAGTGTGACCTGTGTGATTGTACTATGCTACCTCTACAGCATTTAAGACATCTAGCAGCAAATTTAACAATTAACAGTTAAATACAGTAAATTACACATATTATTAATTCAGCTTCTTAAAAGGATTCCCCTTATGAAATTGTAGAATCTAAATGAGGAAAACAGTTCATAAATTTGAAGCAGTGCAAGAGAAGGCCCCTCTATGCTTGCTACAAAGCTGGACATCTGACATTGTGGCATTTTTATGGAAACTTCTCTTGCTAAATGCCTAGTCAGGTTATTCTGAAATTCCTATGGCATGAAATGGAAATTGACAAAATGATAAAGAGGGTCTCGGAAAAATTAAATGAATCCATGTTCATAATCATATTCTAACTAGCTTTCTTGGTGTATACATTTTCCATAAACGTTGGTGTAATTAGAAAAAAAATACTGTTACTGCTGAGAGTAGGCCAACATTTTGAGGAAAATGGAAATGTATGAAATACATAATTTTGAAATGTAAAGAGTTTAAGATAAGTTGTGTTAATTTATTATTGAATGGAATATGCTAATTAAAGTGTATTCTGTAAGAAACAGTGGAGCATGTATTTTTATTAGAAAGTTAATGTTAGTTTTATAGCTAGTTTAAAATAATTTAAATTTTATTAAATTCTAAATAAATATTATTACAGATAGTTGAATTCTTAGAAATGTGGAATCTACTCACTTTTTCTGTGTAAAAATAAACCAGCAGCCGAAAAGTTTGAAAAAGAAAAAAAATTCACTACCACTATAGTAAAGTGAAGAAAGTTTTAAATTCTAATAGCAATAGCAATAGCAGTAGACTTATATACCGCTTCATAGGCCTTTCAGGCCTCTCTAAGCGGTTTACAGAGAGTCAGCATATTGCCCCCAACAATCTGGGTCCTCATTTTACCCACCTCGGAAGGATGGAAGGCTGAGTCAACCCTGAGCCGGTGAGATTTGAATCGCTGACCTGCTGATCTAGCAGTAGCCTGCAGTGCTGCATTTAACCACTGCGCCACCTTGGCTCTAATATATGCAACAAATACTGAAAGCACATATTTTCTGGAAAAAAGACCCTGAGAGTAATGAAGGGGAACCCCCCCCCCAAAGTTGAGAATATTTGTTTGCTACATAAAATATCATGTAATCAGTATTTCTGAATCTGAAGTTCTGTTACCTTTTAAAAAAAATACCTTTTGAGAACTGAAGTTTTGCCTTTCTTGAGAAAGACTTCCCTATCCTTTTGAGTTCTAAATTATTTTGTATAGTATAAAAATTGTATTATGTTTTTAAAATGTTAGGAAATGCTTCATAATGCCTTTCAATTTTTTCCGCTTTGAATGATCTAAAATAGATCTCTTTCAAGCTGTTATTATCCCATAGAAATTGACCTACTTCAAGTTCCAGGGTCATTCTGTAAGGAGTAGAAATGGAATTGTAGGTGAATTTCAAGGAAAGTTGGTCAAACTGTCAAGCATAGAAAAAGTTATTTGATTGATCTACCACCAGAAGAGTAGGATAGAATATGATAAACCTATTAAGGCAGGTTTTCTCAAAATGCCGGCTGTGACTTGCCAGTGGGGAAGAAGTCTTAAAGCATTAGATGAAGTGTCATTGTACAATGATTTCCTTAGAAGTTCTTTCTGAACAAGCTTACTAGTTTCATCCAAAGGAATGCTGAATATAAAGCAGTGTGGTGTTGAGAGTATTAATTTTGTTTAATTGTATAAAGTTTAGCAAGCTATGACTTTATATTCAATATATGAACTTTTAAAAATGTGATATTAATGTAGACTTTGGTTTATATGTACAAATGGGAGCCAACTTTTTATATACTTTTTTGCATCTCCTTTTCTTTTGCATAGGTTGCACAAAGTATCGAAGATCACCATCAAGAAGTAATTGGTTTTTGCCGAGAAAAAGGCTTTCATGGTTTGGTTGCATATGATTCAGATTATGCATTGTGCAACATCCCTTACTATTTCAGTGCCCATGCCCTAAAACTGAGCCGTAATGGAAAAAGCCTCACAACAAGCCAATACCTGATGCATGAAGTTGCCAAGCAACTGGACCTGAATCCAAATCGGTTTCCTATTTTTGCTGCTCTTTTAGGTAGGTAAAATAACACATGGTAATCTGTATGTACATGTATGTGTGTGTATCCTGAAAATTTGCTAAAGGGAGACTTGTATGTTTGTAAGCATAAAAGCCCTGAAAATATGCTGAAAAATTCCATTAAATCCATGTTTTAGCTATTTGGAAATCAGCCCACTTTAATTGGGAAGCTTTCAAGCCAAAATTTCCGTATCACATAATTGAATGTTATATGAAATGTACATGCAATTAAAATTTTCTTAACTTAATTGGATGATATTTACAGGTACAATCATTATTATGAATGAATAAAGCTTACTAGAAAAGGAGAAAAATTTAGTTCTAGATACTTTTAAAATGAAGAGCATGTCTGTATAGAAAATTCTAATGTCCTATAAAATAATTTTAGGATAAAATCTATTAAAATAGAAATTCCTAGAAGAGTTAGTGGCTACAGATGTGTGGGATTTTGTCCTGATTGGGCCGTGAAAAAGACAGGAGAGTGCTGCTTTGCATGCAGCCCAAATTACTATTTGATTTGGAGTTGGGTGTAACTGCCACCAAATGCTACTTATTTAGCTAGAAATTAAAGCATTTTATTCACTATAATATATTCTGATTGACACTTAGTAAAATGTCCTACATATTACAGTCCTACATATGAATAGCTTAATTTTAATAAAAAATTTAACTGAATAGGATCAGAAATAGTGAAAGAATGGTGATTCCAACTATATGTAAATGCTAAGGTGATTACAAAGCTTACTCTAGTATACACATCAGCATATTTGTATACACATAGAGTATATAGGAAATTGAGATAATGATTTAGCTTGCATATAATGTTAATCAAGATGTGTTTGTTTGCATATAATTTATTTGAAGATTTCAAATGGTAATTTATTGTTACCAATAAATCCTAATTTTAAATCATGGTTTCAAGTTATTTGTCAGCCTTATGAGGTAGACCAGATAGCAATAGGAATAGCACTTAGACTTATATACCTCATCACAGTGCTTTACATCTCTCTCTAAGCGGTTTACAGAGTCAGTATATTAGCCCCAACAATCTGGGTCGTCATTTTTCCAGCCTCGGATGGATGAAAGGCTGAGTCAGCCTTGAGTTGGTGAGAATTGAACCCCTTGCAGTCCGCGGAATTAGCCTACAATACTGCATTCTAACTACTGTGCCACCACACAACCAAATGAGATGATTCTACTTTATTGTAAGGTCATATTAGCAGAATCTTGTTTGTCTGAGAGTACAACCTCGTCTCTTTATAGCCCTAAAACTAGGCAGGAGCTCATTGAGTTTCATGCCCTACTACATTACTGCTGTGACCAGCTGCCTTTTATATGACTGTTCCCTTAGTTGCCCTGTGTCCCAAAGGTTATTCTCACATACCATTATATTTCATTGATGGACTTACCTATTGACAATATTTGTTAATATTGCAGCCCACCCTAATCAATAATTCTGGACAACAATAGTATATCGCAAACTTCAAAATTCAAATTATATACCAGTGAAAGTCATTAAGTGATGATACAAGCTATGAGACATTGCAAGATTCAATGAAAGATTGAAAACATCCCAAATTGCTTTAACTTGCTTATTGAATATAAGGAGAGTTGGGACTTACAGTATATACTTCTTGGAGAAGGATATCGCATTTAAGTAGAGAGCATCATTGAAAAGGCCTACTGTCAGACCTGCATATTCTGTTATTAGGAGAAAGAACACTCTAAATGTTCTTACCACAGACAAATTCTATTTGGACAAGGCTCACACAAATCACAAAACAATTAGCCAAATCATAGAAGATAAATTAGTGGTGCTTAGAAAAACTTATTATTTATAAAAATATTGTTCAAACACATACATAAACGTATATAAAATAAGAAAAAGGCACTTATGCACCCTAAACACAAAGACAGCCCTTTCTGCTCCATACTAAGAGAGTCATCCTATAAATACACCTTCTAATAGACTCTGGTTCAGGTTGTTTGAGTAACCAATTAGTATTGGCAAAAGAGAGAGGGGGAAAAATCTTAAATCAATTTAAATCAATGTTGTTTAGTGCTTGAATGTAGGCAAGCATTCACCACAAAACTGGATACATCCAAAGATTTTTTTCAAATCAATCATCCTTCAATTTTCTGTTTTAAAAGATGAAGACAAGAATGATAACTGGTTGATGCTATCAGCAAAAAGAAGATGGAACCTCTAGAAAAGATATGTTGTACAATGTAGCTTACTCTGTGCCTATAGTTAGTATAAGGATCGTAAAGCTCTTGAGAAGTTGCCCATAGCAGCAGTGATACTGTATATACTTTTTCCTGGAATAGCGACGCCATCTGAATTTAGCATTAGTCAGTAATATATTTTTTATTTATTTAGCTGTTTTCCACAAAAAAATGAGGATCAAGAAATATTTCAATACAGGATTTGCTGACTAAAAAGGCTGGATTTGAAAATATCAGTGGCTTCGGTATCCCTATCAAATATACTGTATTGTTTAAACAAAAGTGGATTTTTTTTGTTTGATTGGTAAGGCTTGCCACCCAGTGCACAATTCCTTTTACTTTTAGGAATGCCTGCATCAAAAATGTAGCCTTCCATCTAATTTCTATCTTGATCACTTAACTCTGTGTGTTTTTCCAACTATTGCCAAGAACTTTGATGGAAGTAGTCGGTAGTATTTCAGTATGTTCCAAAACTGGAACTTCTTTGACAGTGAACTTAAGTGTCTTGTGTATTGTCTCCATTATCATAATCATCAACCTCATAATTACATATAAATGAATGATTGCCTGGCTAGCCACTTAGCTGATATTTACATTTTCTGAGATAGATCTGTCTCTTTTGCTTTCTGCATTCTAGTGTGACCCAAAACTCTGACAGAAAAGTTCTTATAAGAGAGGAAAACAAGATTGCAGTTGATTTCAGTATTTTACCATCTGAAACTACACTGTTGAATCTTAACCTGTTCGCATGGTAGAACAACAGTACCATAATGAAACTATGAATATCATCACATGTTTTAATCAGATAGATTTTTGGGATGTCAACATAAAAGTTGAACATTATTTCATCTTTGTTTATTGACATTGTTGGAAATGTATCCATTAATTCCAGAAGTATGGGTAGATCAGATATTGGAATGATTTTATGCTATGCTGTCTGTTTTACCCTGATGCAGAGCCATAATTTAAATTTTGGTATATCACCACCACAGAAGTAAAATTATTGGAAGAAGGGAGGCTTGTGTTTCTTGTTTCCTTCTTCTTTCCTACTAAAATGTTTACACAACTTAGAATGGTTCAAAAAATTTTTTGCCTTGGTGAATCATAGAATATCTTCAGATATTCAGTTTTTGTTTTATGGCTGTTACTTTTATTGTAATAGAAGCAGAGCCCTGATTTTACATTCTCTAGTTTAGGAATTGTTTCATTTGGTTGAAGTGGTCCATTTAGCAAGTAATGTCTGAAGATCTTAACTCCTAAACATGATTATTTAGAAATAGGTTTCTACTTTCAGATAAATACAGTATATATAAGAATTAGAAGTGATATTAGGAAAAATATAGATTAATTATGTCTATTAACAAAATGGAATTCCATGATTTGGGAGTAGAATTTGAAGCTAATGTTTTTTAAAAACCCTATCCGGCTTCATTAATTCCAAGCACTTATTTAAGTTAACGCATATGTGGAGATTCATCTATCTATATAAACATGCTTTTTAAAATAAATTGCATTCATATTCCTACAGTTTTAAAAGTTATATTGACCCTGGTTTTAGTACTGTAAAATAGAATATTTTAATTTTCCAGATACTGATGTAATTCATATTGACATGTATTGTATTGTATATTTTAGGTAATCACATTCTACCTGATGAAGATTTAGCTTCATTTCATTGGAGTTTACTTGGTCCAGAACATCCACTGGCCTCTCTTAAGGTAGAACAATTTGTTTCATTTTGAAAAATAAATAACAGGATACAAATAATCTATAATATGAAGCATCTTATATTATTTTTGGATGTTTCCTGATAAATAGTCTACTTAATTAGAAGCGACAAAGACTGATAGAGTACTAATGTTGAGAAACAGATTAAACTGCAGTTGCTTGCTTTAAGGATTTTTTTTGGCACACATACACTAATAGGGTGTTCTAAATTCTGATTTTTCTCATTTTAGTTTTCATTCTTTCATTCTAGAACCAGCTGTATGTTTAGACCTTTTGGTTTTCACTTTTACTCCCTTTTTAGGGAGTCTGAAAAAATGTTTTCAAGTATACTACAGTACACATATTTATAAAATACAAAATTTTAAACATTTGTGGAACTATAAACTCTTATGAAAATCCAAACTCTTTAAAAAAAAAGAATGCTTGTATGTTGATGAACCAGAGTTCACAAAGTGGAAATTTGAAAGAACAACTGTGAATTGGGAAGAACTATTTTTATTTGATTTGACTGATTATGCCTCCCTTTTAATTTGGTTTGGCAGCTCAAAGATAAGTTAAATTAATTCAGTTAAATTAAAACATTTGAAGAATTTCTCCAGTTATCTATAAGCAACATTAAAAAAACACACCAGTAAACTGGGATTGGGCATGTTTCACAAATAATTTGGGAAAAGTCCTTTGAGCCCTGTATGAAGACTGGCACCTATCTTCTGCTCATTAAAGAAGCCTATTGCTTTCTAGGCTTCTAAGTAAATTTGAAGAAATTGCAGCTGTGTATGAGTCATATTTGGATTAACTGGTTTTTTTAAAGCAGCTGCAGCTTTCCCCCCATATCTTCATTCAGTAATTTGAGAAATAGTTTCTTTAATGAGTAGCAGTAAAGTGCACAGACATTTTTTCTGAATTAGTTTTCAAAATATTCCTAATATGGCTAGTTGTTTAATTCAGATTTTGTAGAATTTTACCACCTTCTCAACTGGACATATTTTTTTTAATTTTTTATAATAAAAGAAAGTGTAGCAGGAACTGTAGATCCATTTATGGCTTTCAGATTCTCTCATTCATTGTTTACATTTTTAAAATACTATTATGTTTAGTAATGATCATTTGTGCACTGTGGAAAACTTCCATTTCAAGAATGGCTTTTAAATAGGATATATGAAAAATACCAATCTTAATAATTAATAATTGTGTGTTAACAATTACTTGAAAATAATTATAGAAGTACTCTTAGACCAATCCTCCAGCATCACAAGATCACAAGCATGATAAGCCATGGCATCACATGTAGATAGGATATTTCAAATCTGCATGCAGGTTGCTTCACTTGATTTTACTATATATTGATTCAGGCATTTACTTTATGATCATAAGAAATACTTTTATTGAAAATTCCACACAATGCATTGTAGCTTACTGAAAAGGGGATCCAATGCGTGCAAAATTTAATGTATTTGTCTTGTATACTTTATTAAATCAGCAAGTTTTAGACACTATCCAGCAGTCGATTGCCTTCTTTTGTAAATCTGAACAGAAAAGAATACCAGTTCCCATGTCTCAAGATGGTGGGCCAAACCTCTTGCAACAAAGCTTTTAACTCTTTGTTAACAAACTTGAACAATAAAGGCGTGTTTTGATTTCTAAGTAGTTTATTAATTTAGAGATTCAATTAGTGGAAATATGTATACATGTTCCTATGTGTCCTCTGATGTACAAAATGGAGTAGAGAAAATCTAATCGCAGCAGAGAGATATGTTTGTTTAAAGGGAGTAGTATCCTTCCTTGTATTACCTCCTGCAGTTATTTTGCTGTGTGCAATTTTACTTTGAGATCAGCTCCGATTTCATGAGTTAAATCTGTGCCCATAGATGTGAGCAAGTCAAATAAACAAAGTAACTGCCCATATCCTGTATTATCATATTAAAATGTTATACCACAGGGGTTCTAAATGTATGATTAGATATGTATTTGGAGATTTACATTTATGGATGGCTGTATTTTTCAAAGATGAAATTTTCCTAGCGAAAGCATATTAGGTTATAGAGAAGGCCTGATACAAAGGTATTAATATTGCAGCAAATTCTTTTTTCCATTATAAAATTAACAAAGAAGGAAAATGCCAAAAGGAATTTATAGCACTCATTTCACTCCATTATTTTTTAAAATTTGGGATCATGTAGACAGAGAATATAGAAATATAAATTTTTAAGAAACTAGAAACCATGGGGAGTTGAGTTTTTATATATTGGTCTTAAGGAGGAAAAGTGGAAACTCAATGCAATCTGGATTTTGTCACTCTAAGAAGTTAAAATGGATAATGTATAAATTATATTAAAATTGAAAAACCTATTCTTCAAGCCACAATAATTATACTCCAAAGCTTACTATGCTTATATTTTAGTTAATCAGAATATTGCTATATAAATGAATGAATTATTTTATTTATTTTGATACATTTATTAGATTATTTTGGCCAATTATAGGCTGAATGTAGTTTGAGATTGGAATATTTGATGGATTTGTTTGTGCTATATGTATTCATTTCATTTATCTTACTGTCTTTTGTACTACCCAAGAATGGAACTTATTTGGTTTGTTCAACAACAAAAGTTAAAATCATAAATAAGAATGGAACCAAAATTTAAAAGAAAAGCAATAACATAAAAGCAGCATATGACAGAAATAATAAATGGTATATTTGGCTTATGCAGGCAGTAAGTTTACTCACCCATCCATCTGTTCTGTCCTCCGCCCAATACAGCAGACAGCTAAAATATATTTATATTTATAAAATATAAATAGCTATTAAAATGATTTTTTAAAATTGTAGCTTTAGATTTTCCTCTTAATATACCTCAAAAGCATAGCATTTTTTTCACTCTTTTATGCGATAGCAGTGTTAGCATAAAAAAAATGGCTTGATTCACATTTATTAAATCATACATATATATGTGAATACAGCCATTATTATTTCTAAACCATGATTTAGAACTTAATATATTGTGTTAACTAGATCACTAAGCCTTGTTTGAATGGACTAGCTCAGAAGGAAGGATGAATACAGCCATTGTCTGCTATCTGATTACTTCAGATTTTTTTCATTCAGGATCAATAAGATATTTTAGTGTTTTTCAAACCTGGGTAATTTCAGTCTTGTTACTTTTACTTCATGACATATTTTTCTACATTTTCCACATATAAAGTGTTTCTGCATTTACAAAAGAAAAACACATACTTGAATTTAGCAACAGCATGGAGTATTTATGAATATATATATATTTGCTTATAAAGGGTCTTATTGGATCTGAGCACTCTTAGTGCCTGCGAGTTTGGGATACTTTACCAGACTCTCAGTGCTTTATAGGCTACTGTAAATTGAGCAGCAGTCTGTTGTCACATACCTTCTTCACACTAAAACCTATAAACATATTAATGAATAGAACTGGTGCTGCAACTTGTCTATCCTCTATCATTACTATAAAGTTCTTTGTAATGAACAAATGGATGTTCTATTTTTAGCAACATTCTCCTAAAGTACTAGTCTAGCCCTTTTCTGATTTGGAAAAGAATGAAATAGCATGCATTGATTTTCATGCCATCATGATAAGATCATAAGAATCAGAGTGCTACTCCTGTTTGACTGATTACAGCAGTTCCTGGTATTGTTGAATTACTTATGGCTTCCTCAAAGTGCCATTTTTATTGTATAGTAAGAACCTTGTATATGAAATTATGCAACCTGTATGTAGATTATCATATAAAAGTTATACAAGCATGTAACCTTTTTCCTCTATCTTCAGTTCTAAAATTAATCCATTTTGTCATTGGTTTTACTATATTAGTTTACCTTACTATAAACTCTATTGGTTCCCTTTTCTTTTTATATTGTTTTTAAGCTTATGTTAACTTCAGAATGTGTTTGTTCTTTTGCTTCTCTTTATAACCCACATTTTTATGTTGTTGCTTTTGTTCCTCTAATACTTACATTCTATGTAAACTAAATATTCATTATGTGTTTTTACGCTTTGCCGCTTCATTAGAAATTTTTACCACTATAACATATGTCTAATTTCTTCCATATTTTTAAATGAGTGATGAAAACTCATTTCTTCTGCTGATCTCTCATTGTTACCATTTTAACTGCCTTTTCCTCATTGAAAAATTTAATGCTTAAGGTGCTGGCACATAATGCTGTTCGTTTAGACACTTTGAGAAAAAAAGAACTATATATGCATTGTGATGAAATATACATATATATGTATACACATATATATGCAAGTCGTCTTTCTCCATAATGTCATTGCTGGAAATGGCTCTTGGAGGAGTCCTGCTGGCCAATTAATGTCCCAATGGATTTGCACTCAAAAGGCAATGCCAATGGAAGTATCTATATATAAGACTTCTTCAGTCCACATTGCAGGTGTGGGATTTTATGTTTTGTATCTTCTTCCATATTCAAGATAAAATAATGTAACATAAAACACTAAATTAGAAATCTTTCAAACTTGAAACTTTGAATAAGAATTATTTATATTGAGAAGTTTACAAAACACGAATCTCACTATCTAGAGTTTGAAAAAGTATAGCATAGTTGTACTAAATGAAGTCAAACATGCTGCTTGTTGTAAGCAGGACAGGAAAAAAGTTGGATAAGGATGAATAAATAGGGAAACGTATTCAAAACAAGAGGATGAAGAAGTTGCCCTGAAGTTGCCCGGATATTTCTGTGTAAAATATCCCTGTTAAGAGATAATACAGCGAACATGACAGTCTTGTTTTGTCTGTGAACTTGCTTTCTCATTTATTTTAGCAGCAAAGGAGAAGCCAATATAATATGTTTGAATTAAAGATTTTAATTAAATTAATTAAATTAAAGATTTTGAGATCAAGAACTTTCCAGTTGACTTACCCCCCTCCCTCCGCGCTTGTGCAGAGTGGAAGAGTTGCTTACTCTTGTCAACAAGCATATTGATTTAGGAAACTGTTAGCA